AGGTCAGGCTGGCTCAAAGCTTCAACCCTCTAATCACAAGTTTGGTCTTTCTGGTGATTAGGCCCCATCCTGAAGCTCTCTAAGGGCTTACCGTCAGTCTCCTCATTAGCATAGACCTGGGTGTGATCCAGGGGCTCATGAATAGCAAAGAAACGTCTATCACTTGGGAGATTCCAAGAGTTTTCGAAGCTCTGTGCTGAAAACCAAGGGCAAAGATGAGACAATTCCTTAACAACATACATGTAAAAATTTAACAATGCAGAAAATGTTTATATAGAAAACAAAAGTTACTCATAATCCCCCAACCTCGAAATAGTCACTGCTGACGTGGAGTGAATGTTCTTCCAGAGTTGTTTTCTGTGCACGCATCAGTATGTAAATAAAATTGCTTTTATGCAAATGGCACTACATTTAACGTACTGTTTTGCAATTTGCTATGGTCAGTTATTTTGGGCCTGTCTCCATATCATTACATTTAAACCAAACTTGACCTCGTTATTTTAAAGTGTTGTACTCAATACACCATTGCTTACTTACTAAAAGCAAACACACAAACACACAAAAACCCTTCGTGGGAATTAGGGTCATCCCTAGGTTCTTTCTCCTTCTTTTGGAAATTACCACAATGTTTCTATGAAAATCTTTGTACCCTCATTCAAATACACATGTAAGATGAGTTCTTATAAAAGAAAAATATGGATGAAAAGACGCATGGATTTTAATTTTTACCATATATTACAAAGAGCCCTTTAAATACATTTAACTCATGTACATTCCCACCAATGAATGCCTGCTATCAATTCTTTTACTTTCAACTTTTTGTGTCTATTAAATATAGAACCTAACCTGACACTTTTCTTCTTTTAAAAGGTGAGTTTTGTGGGCATTTGTCCTTTGAAAGATAATGTGTCACACAATTTATTTTTTTTATTTTTTATTTTTTAAAGATTATTTATTTATTTATTTGACAGAGAATGACACAGCGAGAGAGGGAACACAAGCAGGGGGAGTGGGAGAGGGAGAAGCAGGCTTCCCGCCGAGCAGGGAGCCCGATGCGGGGCTCGATCCCAGGACCCTGGGGTCATGACCTGAGCTGAAGGCAGACGCTTAACGACTGAGCCACCCAGGCATCCTGCTCTTTTTTTTAAAAGATTTTATTTATTTATTTGACAGAGAATGACACAGCGAGAGAGGGAACACAAGCAGGGGGAGTGGGAGAGGGAGAAGCAGGCTTCCCGTTGAGCAGGGAGCCCAATGTGGGGCTCGATCCCAGGACCCCGGGATCATGACCTGAGCCAAAGGCAGACGCTTAACCACTGAGCCACCCAGGCGCCCCTGTGTCACACAATTTAAAAATCTTTTTTCTCTTTGGTGATTTAGAATGTATATTATGTGGATATTTAGTTCCACTGATTTAATTTACATGCTTAAAAATATTTTTCAGTTAAGCCACTTGAACAGTTTCTATTTGAAGCTTTCCTCTGGAAGGTAAGGAAATATTACTTTCTCAAAACTCTTCCACTTCTTTCTCCTCATCATCCTCCTTATTCTCAGGTGATCCTTCCTGAGTCTGATACATGGTAACCTGGTAAGCTTTTGGTAAACTATGCTGTCATGTAAGTGTGATGTCATTTGTTCTAGGGTATGATGTCATGGTAAACTTTTTAAGAACATTTACATGTACAGTTTAACCTCTGAATTTGGGTGAAATCATTTTAATGTAACATCAATTTTACATATTAATGGATTTTATGGGAAATGATATTCCAAAGATTTAGCATCCAGTCCTAGGGATCAGTGTTCTAGAAGCTTCCTGCAGAGCCTTGGTTGTTCAATCCAGGAAATCCAGGGGCTCAGGGTGGGGTGAGGGGTAATGGGGGTATACGGAGAGACTTGATGGTTAATTCTGATTTATACGTGAATAACCTATGGAGACTTTTTTAAATTACAAAACTAAGCTTTTTTTAAATACAAAAGATAAAAATACTGCATTCTTTTTTTTTTCCAAAGATTTTATTTATTTATTTGAGAGAGCATGAGTGGGGTGAGGGGCAGAGGGAGAAACAGGATCTCTGCTGAGCAGAGAGCCCAATGCGGGGGCTTAATTTCTGGACTCCAGGATCATGACCTGAGTGGAAGGCAGACGCTTAACTGACTGAGCCACCCAGGCACCTCCAAAATACTGCATTCTTATAGCAAATACCAATAAGGCTGAACTAAATTGACTGAGGAATGTGCCAGTATTTACTCCTCTATCTAATCCTGTCTCATTCTACCCCTCAGAGGTGACTGGCAACCAACGTTGCCAGTTTGGTTCTTATTAAACCCGTTTTCTCCTATGCTTATAGAAACATGTGGGATGTTTTTACTCTTTCTCAATTTTTTATTTAAAAATTTTCAAACCTAGAGAAAAATTGCAAAAATAGTATTAAAAAACACCTATATGCCTTCTTCCTTCTCTCTCTCTCTCTCCTCACTGAACCATTTGAAAATTAGATGAGAATAAATTGAAGACATCATGACAGACTTCATTCCTAGACATTTAGTGTGTATTTCCTAAGAATAATTACATTCTCCTACATGACCACAATATAATGATCATACCCGGGAAATTTAACATTGATATCCTGAAGTACAGAGTTCCCCAAAAGATTTCCTTGATTATTGCCATAATTGCCATGTCCTTTATAGTTGTTTGTTTGTGTTAAACCAAGACCCAGTCATAACTGAACATTGCACTTAGTTGCCAGGTCTTTAATTCAGAGCAGTTTTCCAAACTTTTCTATGTATTTTATGACATTGACATTTTTGCAGAGTCTACGTCAGATGTTTCCTTGTGTTTGAAATCAGGTTATGCATTTTTGGCATGAATGCTACATCCGTGATGTCATCTTCCTAGTGTATCCCAGAAGGAGGTACACAAGGCCAGTATGCCCCACTATTCATTGTGCAAAGTGTAATCATTGGTTAGAGTGACATCTGCCAGATTTCTCCACATCCTGTTCTTCAACTGTCTTTCACCTAATGCAGAGGTAGGCAAACTTTTTCTGTGGTACATATTTTAGGTTTTGCAGACAGAATAAGGTCTCTGTCACATATTCTTTCTTTCCCCCCAACCACTTAGAAATATAAAAACCATTCTTAGCTGGAGAGCCTTACATAAACAGGTGGATTGATAATTCTTGCTTATATCAGTTCTTACTTTGTTGGTTGTAAAATGGTGACTTGTAAATTTCCATTATTCCTTCTATATTTATTAGTTGGTATTCCTCTTGCAAAATAATATACAGTATGGTACTATTTATATGAAGAAGTAGCATGCATCTGTGCAGTATCTCTGGGAAGATACATAAGAAAGTAGTGATTGTGCTTGTGGATGGGAGGAACGCAGAGTATCTGGAAGATAGAGGTTGGTGGGGGGAGATGTTTTACTGAATATTGTGCTTTACTTTGGAATTTTGAACCATGGGAGGGGACTTTGAGATGGAGCGGGAATGGGGTCGAGGAAGAGGAAGGTGCCAAAAATGACTCCAATGTGGTCTGGCTTCCAAGATAGAGGGTTATGACAATTATTGAACTAAAAGCTACAAATAGAAGTCATCAGATCTAGTGCAGATTTGCTGGGACACAGGGAAGAATGTGATCCAAAGCATAGCAGAGGGACTGGACAGAGGCAGGAAGAGACCCGGGGCCTTTCAGTGGGGGAAGAAGGAAGATGGAATGCAGGGTGCATGCCGTGAAGGTGGCAGGTTTGTAAAGTGGGTAGCCATAAACATTATTTTTACGTGTATCTTTATCGACTTTACTACTGATGACAAATGGAGAGAAATCAATAAATTGCACTTTTTTCTTTCTCCAGTTAAAATTTTTTAAAAAGCTTTTAAAAAGCTGAGGTCGTGCAGATGAGGATCAAAATGTCAACTTCGTTACACTGCACCAGAATTAGATAATTTACCACCTGGCCAGTCACAGGAGGTGATGCACATGTGTAAGCTCAAGGCCAAATAGTACAGGAGAGAGCGCGGGAGGCTGAGCTACTGGTCCTTTGCTTTCTTCCAACTTTACCAACTAGAGAAGTGGGTGAGGAAGCAGAGACTTGGTTACACTAATTGGTTTGGCTCCATGTGGAAACATGAAATCCAAGAAAAGGAGCTTTTCTGCCACTAACTTTTCCCTCAGTATGCCTATAAACATGTGTATTTCTCTACACTTCTGCCAACATCAGGTGTCACAGATATTTTTAATTTTTGACTATTGATTGGGTTAAAGATGTTATCTCATTATGGGAATATTTTTTAACTACACTTGCCTGGGCCTCACTTTTGTAAATTTGGATTCAGTTGGTTTGGCATGATTCTCATTTGTGCATTTAAAAACATTCACAAATCTCAGGGTGCCTGGCTGGCTTAGTTGGTAGAATGAGCAACTCTTGATCTCGGGGTTGTGAGTTTGAGCCCCACATTGGGGGTAGAGATAACTTTTAAAAATTTTTTAAGGGGCGCCTGGGTGGCTCAGTCGTTAAGCATCTGCCTTCGGCTCAGGTCATGATCCCAGGGTCCTGACATAGAGCCCCACGTTGGGCTCCCTGCTCAGTGGGAAGCCTGCTTCTCCCTCTCCCACTCCCCCTGCTTGTGTTTCCTCTCTTGCTGTGTCTCTCTGTCAAATAAATAAAATCTTTTTAAAAAGAAAAAATCTTTTAAAAATTCATAAATCTTATTCCTGATAATCATGTTATTCAGCTAAGATTGAGAAAGCCTTGATATTTTATTGGGGTGGTAAGGGGGGTATCAGCGAAGGCTTTTCTCTACCTCTGATTTTCTGCTTTGATCTTCATTTGCTTTATTTCTAATCTCATCCCTCCCTTTCCCAATCAAGAAGCTGGGATACATTGAAATTGACAGTATGGGGTCACATGAAGCTCTCTCTCCCCAGCCTCTGGGCTGTAGCTACTCCTCAGCCCCACCCACACCTCCAGATCTCTGCTCTAGCTTGTGGTGCAGGTTGTATTCGGGAGGTTCCTTGGTCCTACAGCACTGTGCTGGTTCCCAAGCTCAGGAAATGTGGTCAACCCCCAGGATCCTATTTCATTTCAATATTTCCTATATTCTGGCAACTATTCTTCAGCACTTGTAGGGAAAGTTAAGGTTGTCCGAGTTTCGGCTTGGTTTTCATTTTTAATTTTAGTTCCTTCCTTGATTTTTGTAGGTTTCAGGGAGGAGGCTCTAAAAATGTCTACTTACATAGCCATATTTCCTGGAAGTACTTCCTTCCTTCCCTGAATTAAAAAAAAAAAAAGGCTCAGAAGTGTTTAGGTTGAAGCGGTAATTTCTTGCTCCAGGTTTTCCCACCTGCCCTAAGGCAACTATGTGTAAACAGATCTGTTTCAACATGCACAGACTAAATAATATGCTCAGATTTTTTTCTCAATTTATAGATTTTAGATAGTATATTTTTGATTCTTTTTTCTTATATTTTGATTTATGTTCCAATTTTAGATCTTTGATTACTTACTCTTTCAGTCAGATTGGGCTAGGCCATGTTTCTAATTCTATCAATTTTGCCTTATATATTTTGAGCATATGTTATTAGGTGTATCCAGTTTTGGAAATGTTTTCTCTTCCTGGGAGATGGCACTTTTATCATTATGAAATGTCATTCTTTTTATCTTTAGTAAAAGCTCTTTGCCTTAAACTTTGCTTTGTTTGGTATTAGTATACTTGTTCCAGTTTTCTTTCAGTTATTTTTTGCATATACCATCCTTTCATGTTCAAAAATCCTGTGTCTTCATATTTATTGTGTGTTTATTATAAATAAAATCTCCTTGGACATTTTCATATTTATATCTAACAGTCTTTGTCTTGAGATTAGAATACATTCAGCCTGGTAATATGGATTGTGACAACTGATTTATTTGGATTTCAATCTATAATCTTACTATTTACTTCTATTCATCTCATCTATTCTATGTTCCCCTTTAACTTCTTTCTTTTTGATGGAATTCATTGTGTTTTTATTATTCCATTTCCATTAATTCATTTTCTGTCACTATAGATTTGTTTTACCTGTTCTAGAATTTCATAAGAATGAAATAATATTGTACATACTCTTCTGTGTATGGCTTCTTTCACCCAGAATAATGTTTTTGAGATTCAACCATGCTATTGTGGGTATCTAGTTTGTTTCTCTAATTGCTGAGTAATATCATTGTATGGATATTCTATAATTTGTTTATCCAGTTACCTATCGATTAATATTTGGATTGTGTCTAGTTTTTAGCTGTTGTGAAGAAAGAAGCTATGAGCGTGTAAAAGTCATATTGCGGGCTTTATTTCTCTAAGAAAAATACCTAGAACTGAAATTGCTGAATCATAGGGTCATTGTGTGTTTCACTTTATAAGAAACTGCTAAGCAGAAAATAATTTTTCAAAATTATTGAATTGTTTACATTCCCAGTAGCATTGGATGAGAGTTCTAGTTGCTGTACATTTTTGTCAACACTTGGTATTGTGAGGTGTTTTAATTTTATCCATTCTACTGATTGTGTGGTAGTATTCCATTGTGGTTTTAATTTGCATTTCCTGATAACTAATGAAGTTAAATATTTTTTCATGTGCTAGTGACCTTTGGTATATCTTGTTATTCTAATCATTTGTCCATTTAAAGAATTAGTTGTATATTTTCATTTTATTGAGTTGCAAGATTTCTTGACATATTCTTGATACAAATTATTTGCCAGATATATGTAGCATTATGTATATAATATATATCTGTATATATAATATGTATATGTAATTGTTCCCTGTCTGTGGCTTATCTTTTCACTTTTTTCAAAGGTGTCTTCTATTGAATAAAAGATTTTAATTTTGATGAGGTAAAATTATTAATATTTTTATTTTATTATTTGTGCTTTTTGTGTCCTATTTAAGAAATTTCTACTTACTCAAGGTTGCAAAGTTTTTTTTCCCTATGTTTTCTTATGAAAGTTTTGTGGCTTTAGCTTTTACATTTAGGTGTATGATCTACTTTGAGTTAATTTCTGTGTATGGGATAAAGTAAGTACCAAATTTCATTCATTTCCACATGAAAAACCAGTTGCCTAGCATGATCTGATGAAAAGGCTATCTTTTCTGCTATTGAATTAACTTGGCACTTTTGTCAAACATCAGTTGATTACATATGTGTAGATCTATTCCTGATCTATTATGTTCCTTGGATCTGTATGTTTATTCTTTTGCCAAAACCACACTCTCTTGTTTAGTTTTATAGTAAGTCTTGAAATCAGGTAGTCCTCTTCCATTTTCTTCTTTTTAGAAATTGTTTTGGCTATTATCTGTCCTTCGCATTTTTATATAACTTTTAGAACCAGCGTATCAAATTCTGCAGAAAAATATTTCTAGCACTTTTATTTGGGTTATGTTAAACTTATAGATCAATTCAGGACAGTTAACATCTTAAAAATATCAAAACTCCAATTCAGGTACATGTTATAGTGTTCCATTTATTTTTGATCTTCTTTAATTTCTCTCATCAGTGTTTTGTAGTTTTTAGTATACAGATCTTCCACTTATTTTGTTAAACTTATCCCTCATATTTCATGTTTTTGATACTATTGTGAATGCTACTATTTTTCAAATTTCATTTTCCAGTTGCTTCTTTGAGGTTTTGTTCTTGTATTCTGTGATCTTGCTAAAGTCACTTATTAGTTCCAATAGCTTTTCTTATAGGTTCCTTAAGATTTTTTATGTGTATGATCATATTGACTTTGAATAAAAGGTTTTGCCCTTTTCTTATCAATCTGTGTGTATTTTATTTCTTTTAATTAACTTATTTCACTGGCTGGAGCCTCTAACAAATGTTCAATAGATGCCTCGTTCCTGGTTTCACAAGGACAGCATTCAATCTTTGACCATTGGGGGGGTGGTAGCTATACATTTTTTT